AAAAAAAAAAAAATGTCTAGCAGACTCTTTCTTGGTGGCGAAACATTTATCGTACTGAATGTGAGTATCTCAGACTTTGCTACAAATCATCAGTGTCTGATCGCTGAGTGCTGCCCAACCACACGGGCCGAGTTCTGGAGCCTGCACCACGGTACCTCGCTAAAACCCACATCTTCCGAGTCCTGCAAACCCGCCTGGCCCCAGCTGCGGGCAAGGCCTTGGGCACCTTCAGCCTCCTGACATTCCCAGAGAAACGGGCCTGTGTCACTGTGTCTGACTGTTGCCTTAGAGATTTTTACCCTGAAGTCATAACCTCACTTAATTAGCACCTAAATTATGAAAAACTGTGTCATAGGAAGCCAACATATAAAATGTGGGCAAGTATACACTAAAATGAGACCTAACAGCTGTGGGGGGTGTACCTTTTACTTGTAAGGACACTGGTCTTATAAAGATCTTAAGAACCATAACATTTCAGGCATATTAGTCAAAGGCAGGTGAAAAAGGTGGCCTTTCTGTCATTGCCTAGAACTTCAGAATAAAATAAGGTCCTGCAGTTCTGCCTGTGTGTGCTGTGACCTAGTTCATTAACATTCGGTTTTTCTACACAACCCACAACCCTAGCCTCAGACCAAAGTAACTCCACCTGGAGAAGGATGGGCCAAACAAACCAAGCACCTTTCCAATTATTACTATTGTTATCTCCTACTGCCCTAGAGGGAAAAATTCCAACAAACTGCACACCTTTATATTTCAAACCTATCTACCCATCTGAACCAAAGGGAACACCCAAATGCCAGTGTGTTTACCTGGGATCAATAGATACCACAAGGGCCACCCTTATTCTACATCCTTTGTGCTTCTCCCTCGCCCTCTCCCTCTATGATGCATACTTGTCTGGAACCCAAGCGGTAATTACTGTTTTCTACGAAGCCCATGAGAGCAAAGATGCAAGCCTACTATTAGAGGGGGGACTGGGCTCCGTGCCTCAACTTCCACCGAACGTGAAGGGAAGTAGCAACTTTATACAAACCAAAGTAACTCATAGGATCTTTAAATATTTTCAGGGCATGTGGGAAGGGATGGGATAATGGTTGGGAGTCCAATACGGTGCCTCCTAACACAAGTTTTCCAAGGCAGGTTAAAACACAAGATGTGCAAAATAGTTCCAGGGATATAAAGCGCAGCACATATTGAGGGGATCGCTTTGTAAATTATATGGATGGCTGACCACTATGTTGCACACCTGAAACTAATCCTCCTATATAATAAAGAGCTAATATGCTAATTAGACCTGACAGCCGAACGACCAGTGGGGTGGGGGGTGGGGTAGGTGGCTCGAGATCGATTGCCCCTCAGAGGGTGGCGGCAGCCAGGGCTGTAAGGGCCGAGTCCCTTGCACGAATTTTGTGCATCAGGCCCCTAGTATAAAATAATACTGAATGTCAATTGTAATTGAAGAAAGACTTTGGGGTGAAAAGTACGGGCCACACCATTGACCCTGATCATTTAAGGCCATCATTGACCAAGCTTCACCTACAGACAAATAACTCTTCAAGGCAAGACTCCTGGTACATCTGGACATGGATGGTGTGGATTACACAACCACATATGGGTAAACGATTCATGCGCCATGCATCAAATTGTTGGGAAAATAATAAAGTAATACTGCTTAAGAACAAAATCCAGCAAGTTAAACTAATGCCAGGCTGGCAACAGGTACATTATACTGTATCCTCACTGAGAACAGTATCAGATTTTAACACAATTGCACATTCAACTTCTTGTTTTCAAATATTCTCACATTTGGAGGATCATCGGAAGCATATCAGAAGGTAACATTATTTGTCTTCACTTAAAAATACTAATGTCGCCCTAACTGGATTGGCTCAGTGGATAGAGCGTGGACCTGCAGGCTGAAAGGTCCCAGTTCGTGTCCTGTCAAGGGCATGTACCTTGGTTGTGGGAACATCCCCAGTAGGAGGTGTGCAGGAGGCAGCTGATCGATGTTTCTCCCTCATGGATGTTTCTAACTCTATCCCTCTCCCTTCCTCTCTGTTAAAAAAAATCAATAAAATATATATTTTTAAAAAAATACTAATGTCAAGAGCAGCAATTTCTTTGCATTGTCTGGTTTTACTACACCCCCAGGCAGTCGGGTAACTGGTGACCTACAGGAGGAAGGTGAGCTGGCAGCAGAAAGTCTCTAACCAAAGGCTGCCACACTGGAGCAGCAGCAGCAGCAGCAGCGCTGTACTGATGGCCTACTGACCTTTCAGTGGGGAAGTG